TCCTCTCAGAAAGCTTTTGGAAAGAAGTTAGACATAGTCGCAGACTGTATACATTTGGCTGTTTCCATCTGTTGCCTGAGACACAAGGGACCTGTGATAATTTATATAATGTGACCTGAATAAAAGGATCACTGAAGGAACAGTTTGCCTTGAAACTATTTTCTCCAAATCCCCTCAACAGACCCTAGCTATGCCCTGGGTGTTAATCGTAAGAGATTCAGTTGGTGCCCAAAACATCAAAACCCAAGGGAGAAGCAGCTCTCTTGCTCATCTTCTCAGAATCAATCCAGGGTCTTGAGAGGAGCAGCCCACACAGCAGAAGGGTCAGAGCATATTGCACTAGGTGGTCTCGCACCTCTGAGCCTTCCTCTGGCCAGAGCCCACCCTCAGTGGCTACTTCTCAGCTGCTGTGTGTTAATCCACCTGTGGTGAGACTAACTGCATGCCCATTAGGGCAAGGAGGGAGCCGTGTGCCAGTTTCCAGCCATCCACTGGCATAGTTTCCTATGGAACTGCTCTCCAGATGCTTTCTATTTCAGGAGTCAGATCCTTTCACTAATATTTTTTTAAGCATGGTCCAATCATAGGAAATGGCAGAAGGGCCATCTTCCTAAGCTTAAAACACTGGCACTTACATTGAGATGGTCTGATGTCGAAGAGAGAAGGTCATTATTGGAAGGATGAAGTTTTTCAAACAAAATCGTATCTGCTCCTTTGGAATAAAGCTTTATCTGCCCTTCTGGGTTTCGAACTAAAAAGAAAAAAATTGGGGAATACATATTGTCATCAATGCAATCCGTCAAAGCTAGACTATCCCAGGGGTCCACTCACTCACACACTCACTGCCATTGAGTCATTTCTGACTCACCCCTCCTTGGGTTTCCAAGGTAGTATCTCTACAGAGGGAGCTCTGGTAGCATAGTGGCTAAGTCACTTGCCTGCTAACCAGACGGCTGGCGGTTCAAACCCACCAGCCACTCCTCGGAAGGAAGGTTGGGCAATCCTACTTCCGTAGTGATACTGCCTCGGAAACCCAAGGAGGGGTCTCTATGAGTCAGGGCTGACTCGACGGCACATAACAACAACATCTCTACAGAAGTAGATTGCCCCGTCTTCCTTCCGAGTTCCAGGGATCCAGCTAGGCAGTTTAGAAAGAGGCAGAATGTTGTAGCCAGTAGCAAAACATTCGTTTAGTGCCTTTGGTTAGAAAGTAGCAACATAAATCCCTTGGCTTTATTCCTGTTTTATTAACTTAAAAATATTCCATCTACTAGAATCTTTTGCTTTCCTAAACTGGGAAACAAGTGTTGTCATTCTGATGCATAAGACCTTCTTATTTTCCTTGCCTATTGTTTTTGAAGGGTTAAAACATTCAAATTAGGCCTTCTGGATTGATCAGAATTGGGAGCTTTCTCTGCCTGTCTCCTGGTATGAAATTTCAGATCTATTGTTCTAATCAGCTATTAGTGTTATTCCAAATCATCTCCAGATGGAATCTAACCATCCAAAGCCATGGTTTATGCCTTAGTTCTCTGCTCTTGTTGACGTATTTCTTTGCTCCCTTTACTTTTTGGAAAAGCCCATTCATTCTTTGTGGTTCATTCTTTGGTCACAATTCTGACTGCAAGCAAGTTTCACATAGGGGGCTGTTAAAAAATAAAGCTTCTACCTTCTTCCTTCTGGAAGTTCAGATTACTAAAGTTGTATTCCCCAGGTTTGGGCATGACACCCTGCCTGGGCTCCCCTCTCCTCCAATTTCACACACATTTAGCTGTCAGACAAATCTTTCTTTAAAATCACAGGATGCTCAAGGAGTCCCTGGGTGGCAGAAATGGTCAAGCTCTTGTCTCCTAACTGTGGCAGTTCAAATCCTCCCAAAGATGCCTCAGAAGAAAAGCCTGGCAATCTACTTCCACAAGGTCCTAGTCACTGGGGGCAAGGGGAACACAGGATACTTGGCTTAACTTTGTAAGCTTAAATTTACATCCTAGCACACAGCAGACATCTAATAACTGTTGAATGAATGAACTACATAGAATGTCCTTCTTCCAGGAATTGCCTACAATTTTAAACAACTTCCTGGGTCACAAATTCATGAACTCTGACTCTCACAGACTTCATCAGATGGGTCAAAGAGCATTGCATGCTTTCCACTAATTTATGCCTTTTCTCTAAGAATAAAATGCCTCAAAACAGATGAACATAAACATTTCAATTTAAAGCTTGATTTAAAGGAATATAAATAGCAAACTCACTCAGTTATGCCAAGAGATTTGGAGGACAGCTACCTGGTCAACTGACTGGAAGAGATCCATATTTGTGCCCATTCCAAAGAAAGGTGATCCCACAGAATGTGGAAATTATAGAACAATATCATTAATATCACAT